CATCTCTCTGTCCTGCTTCGAATCTCGGCTTTTTCATTGGCATTGGGTTAAAACTAACATGATTGCAGACTACAGAGGTCTCTTCATCCTTCAAACACTGATTGTGTTTCCACGGCACAGTTATGTTTATAGCAAAATGTATTTCCTCCTTGGCAGTTACTTAAACCTTCCAACAATAAAAATTCATTTTTAATTTTTGAAAGTGAAAAATAACTTGACCTGAGTTCCCAGCCTACATAATTTTAGTGTCAGAATTCACAGACATACTGTGCTTTCCCTAATTTAAGGAGGAATGATGAAAGAGAAATTTATTTCTAATTGAAATACTACGTAAAAGTAAATACCAAGAGAAAAATTCCACAGTGGGTTCATTTATTCTGATGATTATTCCTTGGCTTAAAGTTTAAAATACATTCTCTAAATTTAAACAAACTTCTTTAAAAACATGAGAAGATGGTGTCTAAAGAGGCTATATGTATAACTTAACCATGTTAATATAATTTTACCTTGTAATAAAACGCAATCTGGCTTGACCACCTTGTTAGTATAGCTGTATTTCCCTTGAAAATGTAAGGCATCTTGTGGTGCCCCCATGAGTTTGCTGCGGGGCCCTGAGACATCTCTGCACACAGTGTGGGAATCTCTGTTCTGCTCTATGCAGCCTGCTTGTGACTGAACAGCTTAGTGCATGCTTCTTTTGAGAAAAAAAGTTGATTTCCCCCCATGTAAAGCACAGATTGAATTCATAGTATTAATTAATTTTCACTTATTTGGGGACATAATATTCAAAATTAAGTAATCACCTTTTTAGAATTCTATGGCCTTGGTGAAAAATTAGAATTGACAAATAGCCCCCTTGTTGCTACAGAATGATTTTGAAAGTGTTACTGAAATGAATAAAATTATGGATATTTGAAAACTGTTCTTATATAATATTGTGTTATATTTTTCCTGAGAGCTTTGTTATAAATTTAATTACTTGAGTAAAATTTTTGTAAGGAGTCTTAAGAAAGAAAATATGATACTCCAGCTTCTTTATATTAAATGACATGCCTCGTGGTTAGCAGAAAATGAGTAAGTCTGAATTTTGATTTTTTCTAACTACTCCAAGGCTAAGCTAAGCATAGACCACCATTTCCCTTGCCAGTGATTAGTTTAGGAGCGGCTCTGACCTTCTGGCTAATTAAATATAATGGGAAAGTCAGCCGGTGGGGCTTCTGGGAAAGGTTTCCTCTGATAAGAAGAGAAAACAGAAAGAAATGCTTCTTTCCCTGGACACTGCTGTGTCTTCATGTGGTGTGCTGAACTCTGGCAGCTTATTTCGTGACCATGAGTAGAGGTAGCTGAGGACAAAACCAACAAACTCAGGACAACAAAGCAGGACAGCAGATTCCTGGGTCCTCAAAGAGGATGTTGAATTAACCTGTCCTGAACAAATCTACCTTGTCATTTTTGCAGTGAAAGAATAACTATTCCTTATATATTAAGCACCCTACATTGATACAGTTAGTCTTATTTCTTAATTATGGATGGTATTCAAACTAAGTTAAAGAGTCAAGACCCTTATGGCCCTAGAGTGTGGGTGATCAAATGTATTTTGAAGGACCTTCCCATTTGATTCTTAACACTTTATCTTCTAATTCTTACTGCCCTCCCATTGAGGACCTCTGGAAGAAGATAGTTATGAAATTCAATTAAGAGGACTTGAAGAATGACTGATTTTATTTGGGAATCAGGAAAGGGAAGGGGCCTAGACAACCACCATGTTTTGGTTTGGGTAACTGGGTAGGTGTTGCTGCTGTTCTAGGTGGTAAGGACTACAACTAAAAGAATTACTTCAGTTTTGCATATTCTGAATTTGAGGTGTCAGAAATTGGTACTGCAGAGTAGTTAAATATATAATCCCTGAGTCAGAAATATCTAAACTGCAAGACGATGAGATTTGGTAGTTGTACTGGAACCATGGGTGAAAACGAAATTGCCTTGGCAGATACACCTTATTGGTGTGGAAGAGAGGAGGTGTAGAACCTTGGAGGCAGGGGAAGAAGAGGTGGAGAAAGAAGAAAAACAATTAGTGATGTCAACAATGACATGACTCATTTCATCTTAGATTCTTCTCTGAGAAATTCCAAGACATTTGTAATTATTGAACTTTCATCAGGAGGTAGACTCTACATATTTTAGTTTTTTCAAAAAGTAGATTCTTAAATGCTTTTCCCCCTTTTATTTGATTAATTTGTAATGTTGAACAGTAGCGTTGTGGGATGAAGAGTTAATAAACCCCTCTAACACTAGCAGTTTACTCTCTTCTCCTTTATTTGACTGTACAGCTTATTAATACAAATGTGGGATATAGTACCAAAAACACCCACCCCAATGTATAAATTTTCATCAGTCCTTACTTCCAGTCATTTATAGGACAGCAGATGTGTTGTTTTTAGGGCATATGCATATATATGTGTTATGCCCTTTGTATTTTGCTCTTCATAATTGTATATTCTACTTCATTCTTTTTGTTATTACTATTTTTAACACTTAACATTTTAGTCAGTGTGTTCTTTTTATATAAAAATAAAATATATTTGAGAGATTTAAGATGATCTGGAAAACTCAAATAATTTTTCTTGGCCAAGGAAATCAGGTATTGCCTGAAAACAAAGCCTGTAGAGAACAGAGAAACAAAACTTTTGAAGAGTATGATCTTAAATCTTTTACATAATCTATGGATCCCAATTCAGAACTGTGCGTGTGTGTTTGATATCAAAATCACCTTATGATGGAAATATCAGACTTTATGAACACTTCCAATGCATATAAAAGTATAATTTCCAATTAACATTATTGCTGAAAGGATCCCCCCCAAAAACCCATTTGCATGTATCTTATTCCTCCCTTCAACTCTCTCTCACTCTCTCTGTCTCTCTGTCTTTTCTTTTTTAACTTCAGTTTGAATAGCACCTGTAATTAAGGAAGAAAACCGAGCCCTGGGAGCTAGGTAGGACTTTCAGCTATTGATCTGTGTAAACCCAGCTTATACTGTCAGGGGAGAAACAGTCAACTGCTGAGTTGCTTTGTCACTGACATAAGCTGAGAGAGGATTTTTTTGTCTATACTGTTTATACACTAGTCTATAGACCTGCTGGCTGGTTGAATTTTAAAGAGTGCGGAGGTTTAAAGACTTGTCCCCTGAGGGATGCTTCTGCCAGTTGGGAAGCGAGCTGAGGCTGTTTTGCAGAAGTGTGTGCCTGTGTGTTTCGTGTAGAAGGAGGGAGGGGGAGGGTGTGAAAGATTGAGCAACTAACCGGGAAACATTCTTCTTAATTTGAGTCTTAAAAAATTGATGGGAAATATATTACTACTTTGGGTGTATTTAGAAGTAGACAGTGAGTTTGAAATATCTATATTGTTACAGAAATTATATGAACTTTGTAGGGGGGATATCAAAATAGTGTTCATAGGCGTAGTGAATACGATAAATGGCTTCACTTTTTGTAGCAAGACAAGGATTAGCAATGGTCAAGTGAACTGTTTTCAGTTTTAGTAATTTAAATTATTTCAAGTTTAGCAGCTCTTTTAATTACATGTAACAGAATGCTTTCAATAGTAAAACAGCTTTTTCTAAATATGGGGTCTGTGCTCATATTTTTAAAGGTATGTATGTGTTCATAAGCAAACCAGGGTACCCTTCCCTAAAGGTAGAAGGTTGCTTTTTTACATGATGCTTTTCTTTCTGCTTTAGCGTCATAAGGCTCTTGAAGCTTTCATAGGTATTGCCATTGGAATTTTGCAATGTGATGTTATTAATTAATACCTCATTGTAGTCTACAGGTTAAAAGAACTTAATAGATTCTACTTTAAAACACTCAGTATTATGTTTCTGCAGAGGATTTAAATATTCAGATATTAATATTTTCTCTGGATGCAAATTTTATTGGTAAAGAGGTGGTAGTTTTGATGGGGGTGACTATTGCCTGAAGATATTTGCTCTTTTTTTCTTTTTGATAGGAAACATTCTCCTAAATCTCTGCTTTGTCTTGTAAAGTTACCTGGCTTTGAACTTATATGATGTGATCTTCAATTCTAAAGTTTAAGTTTAGAATCAGAGTTAATTTTTAGTTGTTTTTCATATATAACAAAATAGATCTTTCTCAGTTTTTTGCCAAGCGTCCATTATTTGTATTTTATTATGATTGTTAACGAGTATGACTTCCAAAAGCTTTTAAAATTATTTTATAATGACTATAAAATCACTGCAGGTTTCAAAATCAATAGGTTATTTTCTGTGCTCAGTTAAAACATTGATTTTCATATGAGGCAATTCATAAACAAAAATGCATAGAATAGAAGGTATGTTGTTTTAAATTTAAAGGCTTATTTTTAGATACGCATTTTTTTTAAAGAATGTTATTTGAGATAAACTTGATGTTACTCTTGTTGAATTTACTGAGAGAAACATATAAATGTGTTTCTTTAGCCATAGAATGTCTTTTTTTTTTTTTTTTAACCATTTTACTATGGGACATGTAGCGTTGTTTTACCTCTCAGTAATTCATTCTGCTGCCAACTTCATTCCCTTTTCTCTGCCTGCATTTTAATTGAAACAACATTTATATTTTTGAGCCAGGATCTGTCAGAAGTCCCTGTGGCTAGTCTGTGGTACAAGTAGCAGCAGACGTAGCTTACCCATATGGTGCGGTGCTTCTTGTAAAATCCATATGGCCTTGTTGAAGGGAATCCCAGCGGGGATGTGAAGGGTGTTAATACCCTTCAGGCCAGGCCTTTCCCTCCTGGGGCTTCCGTGGCATTGTCAGTGCAATCTGCCAAAGCACCAACTTAATTCCTTTTTAATAATCAATTATTTTAGTCTAGGAACCTGTGCTATTTTTCCTAAGAAAAAAAAAAAACAAACTTTTTTCCTCCCTAGAAAATGTCTCAAGAAAAGTTTTAACTGCATCTTTTAAAATATTCTAAAGCTTTTTTTTTTTAATTTGCATTTGCAGGAAGTACTACAGAGCGTGCCCAAGTTCTGTTTCCCCTTTGACATTGAAAGGTACGGTATAAGGGTATATAAGCCATCATTCAAAGTAACTTCAGCTCATCTTAGTGAACACTTTAAAATGATGACATGTGTTTTTTAGTAAAAAGAAATGTCTTTCTCTTCACCGCTTCTAACAACAACAAAAAAATTAAATAATATTTGGAGAGAAGTAGCCTTTTTACATCACTATATCTTTTGTTTTCTCCACTGTGGCCAGTTAGAAGTCTTAAGGATCCATTTCTTCCTTTTGTTCTTCAGGTACATATTGTAAGCACCTGCAGAAAAAAATATCACTGTGTCCTTAATCAGAGCCTTAGAATTGTGTCTTTTAAAATGAGATGTATATATCCTGGTTTCTATCTCACTTCACCCTAATTGAAAAGACCATCTGTGTGATATTGTAAAACCCATGACTAGTTGTCTCCCAAGAATAGCTGTATAGAAATAGTGCAATATTATGGAAGGCTGCAGGGAAACCCTCCCAGCAGTTTTGAAAATCTCATTATGTTTGTATTTTACTGAACAAATATTGAATGAATAGAGTATTACCTGTGTGTAGTTGGAATTTCACAGAATATATGGGCCTTTGAGCGTAAAAACAGGTCACTTGTTTCTCACGTGATTTTCACACCCTATTGTCAGTTTTTTAAGAGTATGATATGAGGGGTTTTAAAAGAAAATTTATTTTCAGAAAATATTTTGCTAAAGTAAAGATGAGTAAAAATCTGAAATTTACAATATTTAAGATCATGCCTTGTGAGTGATGGGCTAATTGATACTAATAAGCATCGATACCCCTTGTTTTACCTCCTTTCTGGAGAGTAAATTGTGCTTGTTAAACTTGCAATTTTCAAACTACTAGCAAAGATAAAATAAACGAAGAAAAGCTCTCGAAAGTATATTGTGAACATTGAGCACTAGAGGGCACAGCAGGCACTAGAGGTTGTTTTTGAAGTTTGTGAAATTGTTTTCAAAACCGTCCACTTCAAAGTGTGTTTGGTAAATGTTCAGCACTTGAAATACAGGATTTCCTGACAATTGAAGGCAATTTGTAGTATTGGCATGCTATAGTAGTAAAGTAACTTACTTCTTTTTACCTAATTCCTGTGGCTGTTTCAAAACCAAAATTTTCGGTGCGATGGATATCTTACCTTGGGACAAGGAAGCAGATGTTCAGTTATGGTTGTCTAAGGGCAAGATTATAGCCAGTAACAGGAAATGTATTTCTATAGTTCAAATGCTGATAAAGATTCAGTGTAATAATTTACATTGCACCTTACACTGCAGTGTGACACAGAGTATGTGTGATAGCCTGATACTCAGGTCACGGTTCACTTAAATTCTTCATAGTAAGCTTTTTTTCTTACTTCTTCATAGTAAGTAAGTAAGTGTAGAAATTGCACTCTTGTTTTGCGCTTGGAAATCTACTCAGTGTATGGGTAGCTCTAGAAGAGAATGCTAAAAAAAATGCCAATGGTAATTTTTATGGTACTTTACTGGGTGAGAATGTCAGCAGAAGAAGCAATTAAACAGAGTTGGTAGGGGCTGCCATTGGATTCTAAAGCAACCTGATTTGCTGTCTAAGCAATTTTAAAATAAAATCATGAAAATAGAGGCAGGAGTTGAGCAGAATCAGTCATCGTGTCTTGGTTCTCACTTCCATGGTCTCAGTAAGAGTATTTTCAGATTTATGGAATATTTTGTAAGTACTTTCAGGCATGTGCCAGCTTACGGTGAAATACCTTATGATTCCCTACTAAGGGGTTAGTCTGTATATGTTTAATTGCTCAGCCTGTAAGATGTTGCAACTTACTGTGATATTCAGCTCATGATTTCGTTTACACATTTCACACTCATTTTAGTTTTAGAACCTCGTTCTAGATTTGAGAACCAACTGATTGGGAAGGTGAAACCAGTGCCTCATGTACATATATTCTTGTTTTGTTTTTCTTTAAGAAAATTCTCACGCAAAAGACGCATTAAAGTTTTATAATATTGCTGTGTTTTAGAGTATCCCAGAATCAAGTTGGACAGCACTTTACCTTTGTACTGACAGACATTGAAAGTAAACAGAGATTTGGATTCTGCAGACTCACATCAGGAGGCAAAATTTGCTTGTGCATTCTTAGGTGAGTATTTGTAGTAAAACCAAACCAAAACAAAACTGGATGTATTAATCATTAACTGTGCCTTTCTTTGGTACTTTGTTGTGCTTAGGATGCTTAAAAATAATGTGTATAATATTTTTTTGCTTATATGTTTTCTCTAGATCTAAGTAAGTTGAAAAATAATTTTATTTTCTATATATAGTATCAATTAGGCTTAAAGATTTACCAGTAACAGTAAAATTTTTCTTGGAAGAATTGACTCTTTTACGATTCGTTTTTGTGGGTTTGTGTTTTGGAAAATTAAATATTTAGATGTGAGTTCAAATAATATATATGTCATCTGTTAAATAAGATGCAAAAAAAGTCAATGACAGTAATGCATGCTCTTTTCTACCACTGATCCAGAACTTGTATTTTGAAAGTTAAGTTACTGCTTTAGGGCAATGGTTATAAACTGGTGATTCTGGGTCAGAAATGTTCAGAGATGTTTTATTGGTCCTGTGATGTTTTAAACATTTTGAAGATGTTTCTAACTTTATACATTGTAGTAAAATTTTGTCTAAAATTCAAGTTTCTGATTTCTTTTGCCAAATGGGAATGACTGCTAATTCTGGTCTTGCACTTCCCAGTAGCAGCAATAAGCTGGAACTAAGCAGCAGGTTTGTAGTTGTGCCATGAGTTTGCTAGTTTGTCACCAGTCCTGCCTGTCCTGCTTCAGTTGCTCACATCATCTGCTTGCCTCAATATGTAGTTAAGAATGTGTCTCCTTTTTGTAGACCTAGGGTTTTGAGATGCTGGCTGTTGACAAGGAAGGGACCTAAAAATTAGCTTCCCTTTAGTATGTCTTGATGAATCTGAAATCCAGATGTATTCCACAAAAATAAGATTCTATACTGTGGTTATAATATGGATTTTGGTCAAGCTAGATTCTATAGAAATGCTTGTAGGGAAAGAAATAACATTTAATAGTAAAATATTGCAAAGAAAGCTTTGGTGTAAATTTGATGTTCGTTTGCTGTTTAGCTACATTCATACCATTCTTTGTGCTTTAGGTTCTAAATTTACTCAGAACATTTGTTAGAGTTGGAGAATTTTCTTCAATCTTTATTTGAAAGTAAATGCTTAACTGTTTTACAAGTAATTATGTTTTATCTGGACGAGGATTATGCTTCAAACTATAGGTTGTGATTCTTACAATTTAAAGCTGGTTGGTTGTGCATTGAGAGTGGGGGTGACAGTGTGGAAAATGGGTTGGGAAAGCTCCTTTTATCATTGTGTTTCATGCTGAAGTTTCAAAAGGGGGGTATAACCTTATCTACTCTGTCCAAGACAGGTTTGTCCTCAGAGAAAGACCAAAAGCTGTATGTCCTTCTAATTTTTCTCTGTCAATCTTAAGATTTTTCGTTAAAATGTCAAATTTACAGAAGAGTTTCAAGAATACTGCAGTGAACTCTTGTATATACATCAACCAGATTCACAATTGTTAACATGCTTCTCTCTCTCCTTCCTCTACGTCCCTCTCAGTACACATACACCCACAAGCAAATTCTTTTTCTCTCCCTTTCTCTTATGGTTGTTTTTGCTGACCCACTTGAGAGTAAATTACAGACATCATTTTTCTGTAATATTTGAACCTGCATTTTTACAACTTACCTCATTGCCTCTGAAATGAGTTCCTGATATTGATAATTAAAGATTATGAACCTTTGTCTTCGTGTTGAACTGTTAAAATATTTTGAATACACTAAACCTATTCATAATTAGCCAACCGTTCTTAAATATTCAGAATAGTCCCTACAAATGTGCTTATAGAATAAACATTCTTGGAAATTTCTGCTTAAGTTGGGGAGAGCCAATATTACTTCAGAATATTTACACAAAAAAGGACTATAGCTATTTGTTAAATTCGTGAATGACTGGTATAGTGTTCATGTCTCCAAACCAGGGGTCATTAATTTGGAGAAAACAGATTCTAAAAAAGTTACAGTAATCGAGTTATTGTTGTCAAACTTGTATATGTAGAAGAACATCTGAGTGTTGTAGTACTTTTTGGATTAGGAATAGTTTGACCCGCAGAAAATAAAGTTATATTACGTACATTTAATGAAAGAGTAAAATCATACATGCCAATAAAGAAAACCTTTCACAATCTGCATTACTGGGTTATTTTATGTTTAAAAAATATTCCTTTTTCATCTGTATCTGTTCATTTATTTTTGTCATGTGACAGTACTTTCTGGTAGATAAGAAATAGGTATCAAGGCTTTATGAAAAAAAAATAGGGGAGAGTCTTCAATTGACAAGTTTCTATTCTCCAGCTTAGTTTTTCCTAGGAAATTTAAAAAAGACTGCCATCTCAAGATTAATGGCATAACAGAATCTTTGTCCTGAAAGGCAATGTGCTCTGTTGAGAATAGCCAGATTAGAGAATAGCCAGTAAATTAGAGAGCTATTTACTTTTAATAGTGAAAGAGAATTAAAACTTAGTGGAATTCAGCAGTGTATTCAGAAAGTTGTTGGGGCGCCTGGGTGGCTCAGTTGGTTGAGTGTCCAACTTTAGCTCAGGTCATGATCTCATGGCTCATGGGTTCCAGCCCTGCATCGGTCTCTGTGCTGACAGCTCAGAGCCTGGAGCTACTTCAGATTCTGTGTCTCCTTCTCTCTTGACCCCTTCCCCACTTGTGCTCTGTCTCTCTCTCTCTTCTCTCTCAAAAATAAATAAACATTAAAAATTGTTATAGGTAAATACCTATTTTAAGCTATTAAAATAGCTTAATAGTAATTAATGTATGTCTGTGAAAATAATTTTAACAAGTCTCTTAAATGCTATAGTAAGGAGAATAATGGTGTTCTGGGTCCTGGTTTGCCTATGAATTAGAGCAGGTCTCCCCCCAGTTTAGATTTAACTTTATAATTATTGAAAGGAAGGATAAAACTTTAAATGTACTAGAAGAAAATATTGTTGGTTTTTAAAAATTACTGTAGTTATGAGTGCTTTTATATCCATCCCTACTATTGAATCTTGAGGCCAAAAAGATTGGCATCTTTGTATGATGATGGAAGCTTTTGTTAGATGACAACAATAATAAGGGAATTAAAAATACCAATAATGAGTGGCACCTGGGTGGCTCAGCTCAGTTGTTTAAGCATCTGACTCTTGATCTCAGCTCAGGTCTTGATTTCAGGGTCATGAGTTCAAGCCCTGCTTTGGGCTCTGCACTGAGCGTGAAGCCTACTTAAAAAAAAAAAAAAAAAAAAAAAAAAAAAACCCAAACCAAAAAACAATAATGAAGTGATGAGAATATATTTACAATCACTGTAACAGAGTTAATAGCCATGATACATAATAAATACCTACAAGTTAATGACACAGAGCCCAATAGGAGAATAAGTAAATCCTCAAAAAACTAGAAATAGCAAACCAGCAATTGCACTACTAGGCATTTATCCAAGGGATACAGGTGTGCTGTTCGAAGGGACACATGCACCCTCATGTTTATAGCAGCACTATCAACAAGAGCCAAAGTATGGAAAGAGCCCAAATGTTCATTGATGGATGAATGGATAAAGATGTGGTATATATGTATATGTGTATATATATACACATATAATACATACAATGGAGTATTACTTGGTGATCAAAAAGAATGAAATCTTGTCGTTTGCAACTACATGGATGGAACTGGAGGGCATTGTGCTAAGTGAAATTAGTCAGTCAGAGAAAGACAAAAATCATATGACTTCACTCATATGAGGACTTTAAGAGACAAAACAGATGAACATAAGGGAAGGGAAACAAAAATAATATAAAAACAGGGAGGGGGACAAGACAGAAGAGACTCATAAATATGGAGAACAAACTGAGGGTTGCTGGAGGGGGGATGGGCTAAATGGGTAAGGGGCATTAAGGAATCTACTCCTGAAATCATTGTTTCACTATATGCTAACTAGGGATGTAAATTTAAAAAAATTTTTTTTTAAATTAAAAAAAAAAACCTTATATGACTTTACCACCCCCCCCAAAAAAGAATAAGTAAAGTATCTGAATAACATATTCACACAGGAAATTTAAATAGCATATACACCTATGAATGATGCTCAGCCTTACTGAAGGTGAAAGAACTGAGCACATTAAGATTGACAGAAGTGGAATAAAAAAAACAACATGAGGGGAAACAGACATGTCATGTACTGTTTATGGGACTATAAAATGACATAACCTCAATTTAATAATATCTATCAGATTTGTAAAATCTCATGCTCCTTAACTTAATTATAGGTCCACAATTTTAAATCTCAGGAATATTGCCCGTAGTCATCAGTAAAGTGTGAGCAAAGTTACTACAGCATGGTTTATAAGCAAAAAAATGGGACATAAATATCCCTCAGTAGGAGTCGATTAAGTATGTTATGGTACATTCCCCAGTCTCCCCTGGTAACCAACCCCCCCTTACCTGCTAGAATGTTCTCTGTGTTTTTCACTGATGTGTTACTCTCCCAGTGCCTACAATAGTGCCTGGCACATAGTGAATTCTTAATAGTTATTTGTTGAATAATTAAATTAATGTATAAATGACAGGATGGAATATTATTTATCTATTAGGGAAAATTATATATACATACAGATTCTGACTCAGAGAAATGTTTATGATATATTGTGAAATGAAAAGTTTCTTTCATGGTACGTTCTTATATTATTAAAGAACAATTTATATGTGTATATAAATTCATGTATTTTAAGAAGTAGTTAACAATGAGAAAGAGCATATATTAACATATCATTGTATATATTTATAAAAAAGACTTAGAAGGATAGATCTCTAATTTTGTTTTACTTTACACATTTCAGCATTTATCCATTTTTTTGTGTGATGAATGAGGCATTTTAACCAGCTTTTCCTTGTTCTAAAATCTAGATATTAGAACTATAAATAGCATATGAAAATCAGTAGGAATTTAACCAGATCATCTTTTGTCAGTTAAAATATGTAGTCTCTTTGCAAGATAAGAGATTATTTTAC